ATGATGTTGTAAGGCAAGTACAGTTTTATTTTTAGTCTAATACATTCTAGGATTATAGAGCTTTTAACAATGATGTATTTAGTGAGTTGACTTGTTCAAGTGTTGCAGTTGTAACAGTATGAATGCAAATAAATATGAATATGAATCCTACAGCCATTTTGACTAACTTTGGATCTATGAAATGGAATGCAATGTAATGTAACGTAATGCACAAACCTTTTCCTCTTGGGCTCAACCACTCTGTATATTTTAGCGTACATGTCAACAGCCCGGACCCACATACACATGGACTTGCACACTTTGGACTGTGTGGCCACTTTCTCGGGGACAAAATCTGGATGCTCAATGTATTCCTTCAGCTTCTTAAGTAAAGCATCAGATATCTTATCTTTTTCATACTGTTGGAGCTTCTTCAGGAAATCTGTATCTCCCAGGACAAATTTTGCAGATGCCCAATCCAATCTGTTGGTAAGAACAGTTCTCTTCTGAATAATGTGCACATTTAATTTGTAATGAAAAGAAATAAGCAGCACAAAGCTTAATGAAAACAGTCATTTCATTATCAAGCATATACACATATGACAATATTTGCAAGTCTAAAATTATCAAGACTGATTCACGAAGAAACATCAATTTTGATTCAAATATCTTTTTTTAATCTTTGACTTTGAGAAGTTTCATATGCCTGCCTCTGGTTTGCACAGTAGCACGCAAACTGTCTGATGTAATATTAGAATTGTAATGGTTTGCAATACTAGCATGAATAAACTTGTCAACAGAACTGGCTCACTGTCTGTCTTTCTGCCCATATAGCATTTTTTTTTCTATTTCTGTAAAGAGCATCAGGACTTCACTCTTATGACCCGAATAACATCTCATAACAGGCAATAATAACTTACAAATAATATGGGAAAAGTGTCCAGAAATATAAATTGTGATTACAGTGAAATAAAACTCTAGCAAAGAAAATTCTTGTTACTGTCTAGATTCTTTGAATATTTTTGAACCATCATCTCAAATTGAAAATGTCATTCTTACATATACATATATACTCGTATAAGCCTTAGGTAAGTGATATCATCAGAGATGTAGCTATAGCTGCTTTCAGGAGTCCAAAATATTTGTTCTTACTGCTATGAGTAACAGTTCTACAGCAACACAGTCATCATCAATGTGTTGAAATGGTGAGTTTTTAGCCTTATATTCTGGCTGTTTTATCTCCAGGTAAAGGTTATCTGAGTATGTGCTGGGTACAAAGTAGACTCCACGTGTGATCTGAACAGGATACCTAAGAAAAAGTCACAGCTCTTCCAGAAACTGAACAAATGTCATCTAATGGGTTGTCGCATGTATGAGTGACTAATAAAGCAGGTTCTGGATTGGATGAACAGGTTTATTTATGCCTTATACAAACCACAAGTAATCGCCTGAATTATTGATGTGGTATACAGGATCCAGAGAAACCCTGATCGAGGGGGATGACGGGAGTACACCTAGACTTGCTCTGAACTTATCAGGGAGCTGCTCGGGATGAGCGGCCTTAAGGACGGAGTGGGGGTAATTGTTAGAGAGTAATCACCACAGAAAAAAGAAACAACGAGAAGGAAAGTGAGATGCATGGCCTTCATAAGAACAAAAGGCAGTGCATATATAGGCTATTTGGAATGAACAGCCTTAAGGAGGGAGCAATGTAATGGATTAGGCAACAGCCTGGCAAACATGTTCCAACATACAACAGTGGAAGATATGTCTCAATGGATGAATGTTAGTTCTTGTGTTTTAATTGTGTTACCAGTTCAGGACTGGTGTGTGTGTGTGTGTGTGTGTGTGTGTGTGAGACAGTGAATTATGAAGTGTAGAAACAGAGATAGCGCTAAAATTATGTCTAATTACTGGTGGTGTGTATAAGGAGTAAATAAACCCACTCAACCAGTTCAGAACCTACATCATTAGTCACTCTCTCTCTCTCTCTCACACACACACACACAGATATACAAAAACCAATGTGTTGTTAAAAAACCATGCTTGTTAATTTCGCCAAATAGAAAGGATTTATTATCACCAGCATCTTGACATTATGAGTCTGGCGACGATGGATGACATGTACCATTAACTTGACTGCAGTGGAAAACACAGCTATGTACCAATTTTTCCACTACTCTCCATAGAACAGTGTCTAGTTCTGGCATCGTCATTAAGAAGTAAAGCTCTATTATAAAGCACAATTATCCACTATTCAGAAACATTACAGAAAATTACTTCTGCCCCAGAAGAAGACATATGGCTTCCATAACAAATTTGACAAGGTGTGGTGGCTTGCTGAACGCCCGTAACTCATTGATATCATTTTTATTCAAGGAGTCGAGTGCTTTTGTTGCTGCTTCCATAGCAGGCATTGCTGCATCGAGGTCCCTCTGTGCATCATCTGCCAAAATTTGTGTTTCTGCAGCTTTTGCCTAGAAAAATAAATCAAATTTTAAGACCATAAAAACTGCATAAATATATATAAAAAATTATCCATTCAATCAAACTTTTACCGTCTTATAAATATTATGTTTCTGGATATTATCCATCATCCTGTTTTTGTCTAAAACACCGCCCTGTTTCTATTTAAAAACAAAACGTTTCAGAGACTGGATTCTGTCTCCATCTTCAGGTAAAACCTACTCAGTTTGGCCCAACTGAAAAAGCTAGTACCTATCTCCAGGAATCCAGTCTCTGAAATAAATAACCACAGGACAATGTACAATGTCCAGAAACATAATATTTGTATTAATGTATCATCGTCACAAACTTTTAATTCTTACTTTGCTGTCTTGCTCACAATTATGAGCATGCATTTTGTAACTTGTATGCTACAGCTTTGCATGTTCCAAGCCAGGAAAGCGGGTATACCCACTGCTTGGCTAGAGAATCCAAAACTGATTCATTCACATCTCATCAAGAAAAAGAGAGACAACAAGGGTCCGTTATTACTTCAGGTTGTTCTGCTGAATTTCTCCATGACTAACATCACACACCATGAATGCCTACAATAAGGCCGAATGATCAAGTCACTATACTTTGTTACACAAATACTCACTCACCTTTACCACTGCTTCATCACTCAAAACAATCTGCCTCACTTTATCAGCCTGGCTCTGTTCTTTCACCAGATTCTTCATGAGTTCTGCTGTAACCACTGACCTCTCCTTCAGTTCAGGTTCAAGAGCAAGAAATTCAGCTTTCATTTTGTCCACTACAGAATTCGTTTCAAACAGTTTCTGTAATGTAACAGTCTGATAAAATGTATTCAATTTATTCATAAAATTAAATTAAATAAACTAAGTTACATGTCTGGGGAGAACAGAAATCTCTATTAAGGCTATATTATGGCACAGTGAACCCCCAGCATTAATAGTAATCAGCTTAAAGAATTTAAATCTTATATAGATTATAAAACATGCCACATTCAAAGTTTTCACAGTAATGATTATGAAGAATACACTCTTTTGGGTCAAACAAAGCCTGGCATTTTAGAGGAACAAATGCCTCCATCTTCATGGTGGAATGAGAAAGCCAAACAGATACCAGCAGAAGATGGCTCAGCATGCTGTCTCTAATTTTATTTTTAACATGAACTGGTAGATTTTGTGAGGCTGACCTCTCACCTCCAACTAATGCCGAGGTCAAGAAAACGTAGGTCTCTACAGACACTCCCACATATGTCTTCATGGTGCAGTGCTTAATTAGTAAAGCACAGGGACAACTTTACCTTATGTTACTGGTAGATTTTGTAGTGATCCTAAGATGACTGTATTGTGTATCATTGTGTATATTTTTAAGAGCTGTTGAGTTGTAGTGTTCTAGATAGCTTAAACTGACTTGTCCAGTTATACTTGTGTAACAGTTTATGGATGTACATAAATTAAGAATTATGAATTATATAGAAATGTAAATACATAAATTGAGTGTATAAATTACTGCACTGGCATTATCATTATTGAATTGAGATTTTGTAAAATGTGGTGCTGAATTCAACTTGTAACAGATAAATCATTACTTTCAAGTAGGCATTTATGTCACATATTTTTATAAGTGTAAGACCTGTAAATACTACCTGAAGTCCATTAGAAATTCTATCTTTCTTCTTATTAATCTTATCTTTCCTCTCTTCTAACATGGTTTTATACAATTTAATCAGTTCCAAATAATTACTGGGCGTAGTGTAATAATGCCTCCTCATCTCTTCACAAAAACGAACTGTTGTATGTACCGCACTCTAAAATCAAACAAGAAAGTAGGAAGAATGCATCTGAATCTGTCACAGGATGCTTGGATGGAGAAGTTTATGATTTCAGTGTTCTTACCAATGCTGATGTAACCTGAAATAAAACTATTCTAAATTCACTCATAGTACAAACATGATTACTCTTCTGGATGTTATTCATCATCTTAAATTTTTTCAAGCACAACATTTCAGAAAGTGGGTCTATACTAGCCACTGTGTATAAGGAGGGAAAGGTTCTTACTCAGGTCTAGAGCTACTCTCAATCACTGATCACTGATATTGACATACACTCCACTTAGAACTTATTGCATTGTTCACTGATTGAGCTGTTTCTAATGGGCACAACTCAGTAGGATCCTTTCTTCCCTTACATTGTATGATGGAAAGGGATTCATGTTGTATTTCATGTTCTCACAGTAGTGACTACAGAAAATATGGTCCCCTCATTTGTAACACCATGTAATTCAGAGTCAGCCCAGCATTTTGAAGTAACATATTAACTTCATCTTCAGACTGAAAGAGTAAACAAAGTGAGAATCCAACACAAACAGGCTGCCACCTGTTTCTGTCAGATTTTTACTTGCTTTGTTCTTCAATCTTGAAGTGTTCCAGAAATAACCACAAGGGTTTCCATACCTCATGCATGAGGATGCAGATATTAGATAGATTGTTTACAAGTCCCTCTTCACCCAAATGTTTGAGAGAATCCTGGGCAACTGAGAGTAATGCATCCTGCGGCCAGTCCACGTACCAGTCAATAGTGCAGCAGTTCACTAGAGAAGGAAACATTCTACATCGCCTCCTGCAAACACAAGTTACATGAAACTAATTACTTAATTATGAGATAGTGAGCTATGCATAAATAACATGTGGAAATCTGAAATATGAATGAATGTGAATTGTTAATGCCAAGGATTGGATACAATGCAGCTATGGGAACCACATGCTACAAGCCAAGTTCTTCCTTTGACTGGGATATATACCAGCAGACTTACCAAAATCACACATCTGCCAATGCACTGCTGAGACTTAAAGCCAGCATGAGAGTGTTTGGCAAACATGCTTCTAGGAACAAAGGTGTTGGAACTATTTGTTTTATGATTCAATATACAGATCGTCTCTACATCATTTACGAATGCTGCTCACTAAATTACCTAGCAAGGAAGGATCTGTAATAATAATAATAATAATAATAATAATAATAATAATAATAATAATAATAATAATGATGATGATGATGATGATGACGACGACAACAATAATAATAATAATAATAATAAGAAGAAGAAGAACAAAACACTAAACATTGTGACTAGTTTATCTTTCATATAAATATCATCAACTTTCTCATTATCATTGTCAATATTTACAACAAATATATGTCTCCTGCATTCTCAGAAATCATTAACCCTTCGCACCTGACTAGCTGATTATGTGATTAGTTAGGCTTGATGTACTTGTAATAGAACAGCTACTGTCAAAAGAAGTCAGCTTAATGTTAATCACTTAGTAGAGCATTAATTGCAATAGATGGCATTGTGTGTTATGTACTAATATTTAGAGGAAAGCATCAGCGAATATTACAAAGAGGTAACCCCTCTCTTGTCATTTAATCCAATCAGGGAACTGTCCCCCGGCCTTCGACTACACATACGGAAGCCTCTTCTATGAGGCCAGGGTGTCTTTCGATGAGGGAAGACAAATAAAGGAAGCAGAAGATCACAACAAGGAATTCAACAAGATTTTCCAAGAAAGAATGAGAACCAGGAGATGTTTCACCACAGACAGCTCAAAAATGGAGGACAAACCATTTGTAGGATTCACATCGATAGATTTAGAAGATTGTCGTATCATGAAATTCAGGATATCTAAGATAGCATCCATATTCATGGTGGAAGCATTAGCAATTGCTGAAACACTAGATAACATTGACAAAATAGAATCGGAGCAAAATTTCATGATTTTCTCGGACTCGGCAAGCGTGTTAAAAAGCATTAGTAACCCCACTATAATAAGCAACACATCGCACATTACACACATGCTAAAAGAGAAAATAGAGAATTGGAATTATGAGGAAAAAATCCAATTTTACTGGATCCCAGGGCACTGTGGAGTTGAAGTTAATGAGAGGGCCAACTTGGAGGCAAAGCAAGCAATCCAAGAAGGCAGAGATAGTCAGTTACTATTACCAGTAGCAGATCTTAAAACCCAGTGGAAAAAGAAAGACAAAGAACAACTTCACAGTTTTTGTCAAAACACCAAACGGGACAGAGGAGAAAGCTACTTTGAAAGGCACTACAGGAAAGGTTCATCTCCATGGTTCCGACAGATAAAAATGAACCGCCGTGCCTTTGTGTCAATAAACCGTATGAGAGCGCGACACACCAGTCTTAAAGCCTAAACAGATTTAACATTGTGTCCACAGCCAAATGCGAATGTGGTGATGGGCTGCAAATGGAGGGGACTGTAAACAGTACAAGGACCGAAGTGTAACAGTGATGAACATCTTGTCTGAGAACAGCAAGAAGCATTACCCAAAATCAGTTACAGAGCTCTTAAGGCTAGAAGAAAAAATATTTCTGCAAGGTGTCTGTTACTTCATAAAAAACATTCCTATATTTATATAAAATAGGTATGTAAGAAAAGTAAAAGAAGTAATTGCAGTAATTATTTACAGTATACTCACATATTTAAGTCAAGATCTATATTAATAATTGCGGGGCCACCGGTATTATGGAATAAGATGTTTATTAAAAGGTGCTACAGAAAGCCAGATGGGCATTGCCTAGGCCTCTTTTGTATTTACATTTTTTTTCCTCACAATTAAAAAAAAATAGAGGAAAGCAGTCTTTCTCACTATCTACATTTGTGTTGTGTGAAGTCTTGTGTGCTTTTCTGCACAACTGCATTTGCTCCAAAGCAACCATGATGTTTCTAGCAGGCTGTTTGTTCTGTGGCGGAGATTGGTAGTCAAAGGATTAAATCAGCTTATGTAAAAACAAATTTTAAATTATGTCCATGATGAACTGAAGCAATGGTATAAGGAATAAATATGCCTAGACAATGTTAACATGTCAGGACACAATTACTGCATCCACATCTCTGTGCGCTACAATTTATCTGAGATATTCATTCAGTTTTGATACTTTTTGATTGGAATTTGTACTTCTGAAATGGAAATTCTAACCTGAAAGCATCTCCCACAGGATTCATACAAAGGACAAGGTGTAGTTTACGTCTAACTTGGTTAATAAAGAAAGAGAATATTCCATCTCTATCTCCATCAGATATACCAGCCTCTTGTGCAGAAGATCTTGTATCTTGAATAACTTTTTCATATTCTTCTGCAGCATTGTACAAGTTTGGAATTTCTCCTGACAACAGATATAAAACAAATTAAAACCAAATAATTATATGATTTCCCTACATAGAGCATCTTGAAATTTCAACAGGAAAGTGTTAAAATCAAACTTAATTGAAAACAACAAACTAGGCAACACCAGAATCCTACTTGAATTCCAAAAACAGTAAAATTATCAGGAAAAGGTTGAGTCAGACTTACAAGACGCTCTTTTCACCACTTCACTGTGCCCACAAGTCATGCTCATTATTAGTTCACAGTGTTAGTTAAACCATAAAGGCATGATTAATAGCTATGAAGAACTGAACTGAGAGTTTGCCTTCCAGTGCATATCAGACTGTTATACATACGCATTGCCCTGTATTTGCATTATCACTGAATGTATGACAAGATTCATAGTAATGTGGTACATTGAGTAACAGGTCCAGAAGTACGCGCCTGTAAGAAATAAACAAAAAAATATTGCATATTCTAGAAGAACACATGCTTTGCTGAGCTCTGAACCTCAGCAAAACACCATACAAATTGAAGAATGTCATCTTCGGGGATGTGGCACTGTGTAGATCCTGTGTGAACCGACATTTCGGAGGAAGATATCACCTCCATCTTCAGGGTAGAAAAATTTGTGAGCGAGGAACCAGCTTGAGCAGGTGGCTGCAGTCTCCTTGTTTTGTTGATGTAACATCTGCCACAATTACATGGTATATTGTACACACACTCCTTCATTTGCTGGGCATCTCCAAATGGTCCAGTTTTCATCGGTGTCACATGGAGTGTATGTTTAGTCATGAAAATGGTCCAGACACTGAAACGGTTTGCAATGCTTCTGGATTTCTCGTTGTGAAGGTTACTGTTCTATAGAGTGTGATGCTGCATAACGACAGACAGGTATCAGTGTCTTGGAGGAAAATGTTGCCTCTATCTTCCAGTGTTCTTCAGAGTCACTTCCATGGGAACCTCAAATCTCACACAGTAAACCTGAGTAGGGAAGACAGCATACATTCTCCTAGCCTAAAGATAGAGGCAACAGTTTCCTCCAAAACACTGGTACCTACCCATCAAAACAGACAATGTTACATACCGGAAGAGAGTAATCTTAATATTCACCAGTGAGAGAACCTCAAATTACATACTAATCTCCTTGCTGAGACTGTGATAAACCATTTATTTGAATGTATTATCATAAAATTTATAACAAAATGGATACAGAAAATTATTAGCATTACTGATGATATGAGTACAGGGGATGACAAAATTTCCTTGGGTTATCAGCCATGTCAGTTGGTTATAAATAATATTGTATTTGAGCAACCTGTTGCACTGATTTATCACTCACTCATTCACTTCCCATCTTTAGTGCAACTTAATTGTTCATAATCTCTCTTTAATTTAAAATAAGATTAAAAAACATCAACTCTACATGTTTCGGCCTTCTTCGTCCATTTCAAGGCAATTTTTCACTTTCTGAAACTGTCATACTGCACTAGGTTTTAAGTCAATATGTTTCCATGCTACTGCATATCGTTCACACTAAAATGTGCTAGTCTGAGAATAGAACTATCTCTCCCTTCCATGTTACTTTCCTTTTTGAGGCATCCATGTTCCTGCAGTTTTGTATATATGTTCTCACTAGTTCGAGGTGTGTCCGTTGATAACTCAACGACTACTGTTTGTATGTGACTAGAAGCATGTGCAAAATACACTCTATGTATTACTGACATTTACCTGAACTCAAGATATGACTGATGTCTTGAAGAAACTCCTCATGCATGATCTGAGTGTCAGTGAGAAGGAAAGTTGTAGCTTCATTTTTAGCACCAGCATTAAAATACAATCTTCGGATATCTTCAAGAAATGAATTGTGATCATAAGTACGTTTAAGTTCAAGTTCAAAACACCTGGACAAACAATCCAGACATGTACATATTGCTTAGTATGATTTTTTCAATAAATGCCAAATCTGTCGAGCATAACTAATAAAGACAAAAGAGTAAAATTTATTTTCCAGGTCTCTATTGCTCTGCCAACTACCATCCTTACAAAACTGCAATGGTGCCCCCACAAAATGCAATATACCACAACCCTCACTACAGTCACAGATCACATGATGGTACTAGTGCCACATGCTATTTGCAGATCAACTGCTGAGTGACAGAAGCACAATCAGGGGACTCACCTGTAATTGCACAAATGAGAACCAAGGCGAGCAAGACTCCGTTTCCCCATTCCACCAACTCCTACCAGCAGAGCATTGCCCCTCTCTGCCCTCAAGATGCGGGCAAGTCGAGTAATATGCTCTATGCATTCCATGAAGAAAACTAACTTCATTTGCTTAGACACTGTTTTATTGTAATCTTCTAAATAATCCTGAAATAAAACTCAGTATAAGTCCTCCCATTAAAAGACTGGATGAAAATTAGACAAGCAGGATACTGGAGTCACAACTGCAGATATTCAGTCATTATTAACCAAGAATATGTCCTAATGAAAATGAATGTATTTTGTAGAACTGTTGAGAATTTGAGGCTCTCACATCAGGGATTTTGAAGAGTTATACCTTCTGGCATATAACAAACTGTAGTCTCTTGAAATTCAACTGACGTTTCAGAGGAACATGTCGCCTCCACCTTCAAGACTGAAGAATAAAGCGAGCAAAAAACAAGCATGAAACTGGTTGGCTCTGCCTGCCTCATGCTGGTTTCTGCAACTTTTCACTCTGAGTAAACAAAAAATTCTGCTGACTGATTACTGGATCTGATTATAAAAGCATTCCAGGACAGCCTGATTAAAAATGGAACAAATAAGTATTAAAAAAGCAGGTGTCATTGAAATATTTGATTGATTACTATCATTTGACATTATCTGTGACATCAATATGCTGTGACAAAAATGTATACATTTTTACCTCTATTTTTCCAGCAGACTGAACTCACATTTCATTATTTTATTTCCATGTCATTCCCTGTGCAATTTCTCCATTATGTCACTTAGCAACTGAAAAGTCTGTGGCAGACTATTTTTCTTTAAAGAATTTTAACACATCTGTGATTCTGGCTACTGATCTTGACAGGATCCTGGATATTTATCCTACAGACCGCCTGCAAATAATTTGGTGGGTTGCCTTGGGACTTGTAATGGGAAAGAACTATCATGTGCCAACTCTGAACCAATAAGCACTATTGTCCATAGGAAAGTACTCCTGTTATCTATCTTTAGCAGTGTTGAATTTGTACGTGAAATTAGTGTCTCTTTGAAATAGTTTTACTCAGCACAGTTGCTGCCAAATTATGTACAGGCACCCCTAGTCACCAGATTTCCTACCTACCTTCCTATAGTCAACATGTTTAGGATTTCTTAATAAATATAATGCAGTACCTGTAGAACATATTTTAGTTTTTCCATATTTGTTATCTCCTCATATACTTTGTTTTTTGCAGCTGTTCCAATCTGCATGAAGTCCCCAAATATAAGAACTGGTGGATGGTCAATTATTGGGTCATCCGGCAAAGGAATTACTTCAGTAGTGAAAGATTTTATGCATATTCGTTTCATGAGATGATAGAAATAGCTTTTATCTTCCATATTAATCAAGCGATCATGGAATACACGCAAGCATTCATGGTAGAAAAGCCTATAATCAGAAATAATCTCTCTTAGATGTGAAGTAAAGTGCAGAAAATGTTATAATTGAACTTACTGTTTCAAAGTAACTCACATGTGTGTTACAAGTAAGATATCAAGGACACTGAGTCAAAACAGCTTTTAATGTATTTATTAGTATTCAATTCCATATTTTTCTTAATTTCTCCAAAGATACGAGTAATTAATAGTAAATTATATCTTATCATATAAGGGACATTAATTCATATCTTGTATGTTATGTAATGGTAAGTAAGCTGGTGTGAATTATAACAATGTGAACATACTGAGTTTCTCTTGTTGTGAAACTTCTGGCAAGTATAATATTTGTCTGACTGGTAAACTAAGCCAATATCTGTTGAAACATAGGAGAAATTATGGAAGTAATGTGCCCCATTTCAATTTACTTATAAAGTTTAAGAAGTACATAATGATAAATCACATTTGGGGGGAAGAAAAAAATTGTGTAATTTTTAAAACGTTTCTTACAAAACAAATTTTGTTCATTTCATATTGGTTGATGTATAAGATGCTTTGACAGCCACAGCATATTTGGTAAAGATTATGGTAATAAAGTGTTTACCTGAGTATATGACTTGCATCTCTGAATGTTCCTGAATCAGCTTGAAGTACTCCCTGAATACATTTTGAGAGATCACGCAGGTTGAACACATAATGAGATTTTGTTGGTGTTGGCAACAAATCTGAAGCAATGCAACTATATACTTCTACAGCAGCATTCACTATTAAGTCTCCAAGTTCAGCCACTGGTTTACAGAAGTCTTCTAAAAAACCATGCATTATTGACTGTAAACAGTAAATTCAATGAACTATGTTGGGTTAATGGATTATTTTATTATGCTTTGCATTATTTGTTTCTTAACAAATTATGACTATGGTGGTGTAAAAGAATACCTATTTTAATATCCAAGGATATATGAATTTTAATAAAATGAAAAAAAAAAAAATGTCTGTATCACACAGTTCTCTATATGGATATGAACTGTCATAACCTGTAATTCTACAAACCTTAAATATGTGTTTAAGGGTCATTTCATCAGGTGATGATATCAGAAGCATGCCAAAATGTCTGACAAAACGAGGTGTCAGAGGATTCCTTCCTCCACCAGCTGGTGCACAAGCAGCTGCTATTATAACATCTTCTATGTCCTTCCAAAAGAGCTTTTCTCGATCATAAAAACCATAAAGATCTAAGTACTGCCTACAAAAGAAGAAAAACATCATGGATAACTATATACAGTTCTGACATACTCGTAAATATCCTGTATTAAGAAGAATACTAATCTCTCAACTGTGATGCTATGTAGCCTGGTAGAGTATTACTTATGTTTTGGAGTGAGGTACTGCCTCCATCTTCAGGGTCTAAGAGTAATTAAGCCTAGCAAGTGTTCGACAAGCACAGTAAGCCATGTAGTAAAAAATGGCATGGATGAATTGTGCAAGTGAAAAACTAACAAAGCTCAATAAATCCTGTATCAACTAGTCACAAAGCAAAAACAAGGCGGTGAAAAAATATTGAGGTAAATTACCTGAGTAGCTCAATAGGAGGTTGTGATCCATATCTGTCTAATTGTGGCATATTCACATCATCAACGAAAACAACAATTTTCTTTCCCATTGGAGGTCCAAGGAGAGTTTTCTTACGCTTCTCCAACTTCAACTCTATGATCTCTTGGGTTTGAGCACTGCTTGTCTGTGCAGAGAAATTTAAGCTGACTGGAATATGATCCCCCTGGCTTGAGAGTTTATTCAGTACAGCTTTTGCAATCACAGTTTTACCAACACCTATAAATATAAAATACATACTGTTACTACAAATCATCTTCTATAACTTATCTTCATTGTCACATACTTCAGGATAACATGATCTGTGTAAATAAACACTAAAATATTTCCTTTATTCCTCGAGTAGCTCTTTTGTCACATTCAGCCCAGTTTGTAGTCATGTGGGGAATTAAAGATATAACCCAGCGCATTCTTAACCTCAGCACTGGATGGTAGTAGTCACCTTCATACCCTGGCTGCATTATCATTTGTTAGCCATTGGATACGAGGCTGGGTGGGGCCCAGAGAATGTCTGGACATTGTGGCAAAGTGAAAAATCTCTTATCTCTGCCAGGGATTGAATCCCAGTCCCTCAGTCATCCAGCCTAAAGTTTAGCTGCCATACCAAATGAGCTAAGTACAAGCATAGGCTGCACCATAGCTCAAGTGGTCAGTCACTGGCTTCCCACTGCGGCAGCCCAGGTTCGATCCACGGTCTGGTCAAGTGGACAAAGTGGCGCTGGGGCGGGATTTTTCCGAGTACTTTGGTTTCCCCTGTCAAACTTCATTCCACCAAATTCTCCATCATCATAATCACCCGGGGCACGCTACAATAGGCCAATCAGTGGCCCCCATGCCGAGTGGACCCAGTTGGACTCCACCCCCCACTAAGCAAATAAAAAAAAGTACACGCATAAAGTTTTGTATTTGCAGCAAATTTATTATTGTAGCTCAATGAAAAGCCCTACCAGCAATTCTCAGTGCTCTAAATAAGTACATGAGAGTGCGGCTCATTTACCTGTCAGTCCTGTCAAAAGAACTGGATGATTTACTGCAAGCAACCTCTCCATGATGTAAGCCATTCTTACAGTTTCTGTGGTTGGGACTGTAATCTCAAAGAATGGGATATTTGAATTATAGCTAAATGTTGGAACCAAACTCTCCCAGTGGTCCCACTTCCTGGTTTGCATGTTCACATATACATTCCACAAGTCACCAGATGGTGGAATGCTGCTGAAGGAGTTAAGATATATGATCGTTTTGAAACGAAAGAGTAATTCATCTCATTATTATGTACAAAACTAATTCTAAGATTTAAAACAATCTTAAAACATGTTGTAATTAATTTATATCCCACTGATTATACCAATAATGGCTTATGATAAATAAGCTCTAAAAGTTTATGATGATGGTACATGATTACAAATATTATGTTTTTTGGGCATTATCCATTGTCTTGTCTTTATCTAAAAATCGTCCTGTTTATTTTTCAAAATGCAATGTTTCGGAGACTGGATTCTGTTTCCGTCTTCAAGTAAAACCTACTCAGTTGGGCCCAATTGATAGAGCTAGTCCCTACCTGAAGGTGGAGGAAGAATCCAGTCTCCAAAACATATTTTGAAAAATAAACAGGATGGTTTATAGATAAAGACAAGACATTGGATGATGTCCAAAAACATAATATTTGTACTAATGGCTTATGATGTTGAATGAATAGTTAACAAATGATTTTAAAAATATGTATCCTTCATTCATATCATCAGTAGTCCATTTATTTCCATGCTTGGAAAGAGCTTCTGTGAGATTTGAGGTTCATATAATTTTAACTTTGAAAGATTATTATTATTATTATTTTTTTTTTGGAGGCGGTGGGTTTCCCCATGCACTGCGACCATTTGTTGATCTATTGTGCGTTCCCCTTTAATTATTCTAACTAGTCGCCATGCCCTTCCAGTACTGGTACTCGCTATCAGCCCCGTTCTGCCAGCGAGGTCGGTCCTCTCTGGTAGTGGTCCCCGATACTTCACCATCTACCGGAGGAATTGGAAACTACTTGGGCAGGAAACTTTTGCCTAATTTTGCTCAGACGTCTCCTAGAGGCATGAGGATCTTTTACGTGCCGTAAATCTACAACACGAGACACACAGCTTAAAGTCCCTCCCAGAGGACTTGTTCCCTGAATTTTTCCACCCTTAAAAATTCCACGACCTCCGCCGGGTCATGAGGTGGAAACGTTACCCCTAGATTATGGAGGCCACTTAACTTTGAAGGATACTGTCTCCTTCAACATGAGGTGATGCACTCATGTGGAACTATACCAATATTTTGGACGACTCCATTGCTTCCATCTTTTGGATTGAAGAATATGGCATGCAAGCAAGAAGTTGGTCTAATTTTCAGGATATCGTTTACCTGTCATATGCTGTCTGAAGCATTTAAAGAATTTATTTTGCTGATTTTCACAACTGATTGCAATATCTGATGTTAGCCAGCTGCTTCAAATAATTTACTTCATCTCTTTGAAATTTATCATACACACTGTTCTCATCTGAGACCAATCATATCGCTGTTTTAATGATAATTAACAATTCTGCTGAATGTAGTCATATACATGCACAACGATCTAGACTACCTGCCAAAATTCTGATGTATTCATTTTTATACCAGAACATTTTGAGGCTGTCATGTACTACAAGACATTATGGAGAAATTAGTGACAAGATAGATGCCAATTAAACACATAATGTTAAACCACACTGAGTTAATTGTACTTTACCATGCATCAGGGTGTTCTCCAAATTGATCCCTTACAAATGCCTGGAACATTTCTCGACAACTATCAGAGATGTTTCCTCCAACTGACCATATATAAGCAAATACAAATGACTGATAGAGGAAAGATTTAACATAAGATTTGTCAGCCTTCACAACCACAGCATCAGGCAACTTCATCAGACTTTCCATCAGTTTGCACAACATCATCACCTTGCTAATGTCAACCTGAAATACGACAGAATTTTGGTAGCGAGAGAAAGGAAATTAGAACGTCAGATGGACTCACATGAAATACGGTAGAAGGGGCTAATGTCAGATAGACAGAACTGAGCACATAAAGTGAAATCTTACCTACAACGGTAGTATAATTAATTACTGCGTATACTATTGAACATTCTTTTTTGTAATTTTGGTTGAAAGGAAATACACATAAAGGGGACAAATACACACACACACACACACACACACACAATAGGGATCAACATAAGTTTATTCAGGTTCACTAGTCGGACACGAATTCTAATCACCAAACACTTCTCAACAATACAAACCATGCCTACACACACCAACATAGTAACTGCTCTGCGCCAGCCTCCTCATTGCATATAAAACAAAGTTATATTGTACAATATATACAGTGCATAAGATCTTATTTACTGTTCAAATTTATTATCTGGTGCATGTGAAGAAATAAGAAAAAGAAATTGGGAGAGAATAATAATGACTAAATCCAAAGATATTTCCAATCAACAGTCTTGATATTTCACTCAGCACAGACAAGCAAATGAGAGGCTTTGTTCAAATGTTGCGGTCCATATGGCGAGGACAGCAAGAACTAGATACTAATATTTGTATTTGTTAAAGATTCACATCTGGTACCTAATACAGAATCTGACTAAGTTATTTGTTGTTAGACTTCTACTTTGGTTATTAGCACTCAAGATGAGCTGTGGCTGCTAGTAAACAAAAATAAATCTCCATGGCCTGTAGTCTGCAAGCGAACTATACCGACAGAGAGACTGCCGCTTGTTGGTGAAGTTAGTGCCCACTTTAGCGGATAGAGGATGTTGCGTGGTCAGCACAATGGGTCCCCACACCCATTAATCTCAGTTTTCTAGACCGGAGCCAATATTTCCTTGAAATAGCTCCTTAATTATCCTCACGAGGCTGAGAGGACCCCGTTCCAGACCCACTACTACTCAGAAAATCTGGTGTGGCTGCTAGTAGATATACTAAATAATGTTGATGATTATACTGTCCCTTGCTGTATGCAAACATTTAAGTACACATATGTAACCCACTAGTAGTTCAGTCATTTCCTGAACCCCCCAATGAATGAAGTCTATTTTAAGACAGTTACTGAATGACAAAGGGTTGCCCAATGAAACATCAAGCCTACATTCTAAGGCAAAGTTACCAATGCTGGAAACATTATCTACCCAATAATCATTAGTAGATGGCAATAATTTGGGGACTTATAACTCAATGCAAGACTTAATTCCAGACATCTGGAATGTTTCCACATACTGGGCCTGGGCAGAGAACATCTTAACCAACCACAATACAACTGGTTCCTCAGGAAGGGCTGTGTTACCTAGAGTTAAGCCATAATAATAAACACATACCTGATGAATGGCACAATCACAGTTCTTTTTCACGAAAACAAGTGCAGATTCCAAGTAAGTGCTGAAAAGATCTTCAATGATTGCATGACTTCCTTCTGGTAAAGTGACATCAAGTTTTGACAGCCAACTCTGGACATAGGATAACCACTTGATTACATCTGGATCAATATACACCATCCCACAGCGACTGACAGTAGCTGGTGAGGCTTGTGCTAGATCCTGTACTTCAAATACCATGCGCACATAAGGAGTTAGTTTAATGCGCTCTGAATTAGCCAGACACAGAATCTTGTTGTTGTCCAGCACCGTATTCATATTCTCTATCCATACAGCATCCACAGGACCATCACAGACAATCCAGTGAAAATCTTCAGTCTCACTCTGATCATAAAGGAACACAAAATTAAATTAAGGATGAAGAATATATAGTAAGATATGTAGGTTTCTCACTGAATAAATGCACTAAACTCTTCTTGGGTGATTAGCCATAGCAATAGTCTAGCTAACTTTGCATATTGAACATCCTTCACCGGATCCAGGCATAAATTATCAACCTATGTGATCTGACATGAAATGCCACATATGGCCCTCAAGTATTCTTATTTTACACGCAAGAGTGAATGTTCTAGTTAAAATGGTTTAACTATCTGTGTTATTACTGACTATAATGGTGAAGCTTATTGTCTGTCTAAAACATCATACGTGAAGGTCATTGGCTTTTAATGATTTCTTGCTTGACTTAATCTTCGACCCTGAAGATGGAGGCAACATATTCTTCTGAAACTTTGGACTCCCTCCAAACTACATTACAATACAATACAATACAACACCATGTAGTTTGGAGGGAGTTACATGGTGTTACAACAGACAAGATTGTTCTCTTCAGGATCTGTAAGGTTCTGATGATGTAATGAACTGTATCGACATTTGTGGATGACGCACCCTCAAAGATGTTTTAATAACAGTTTTACTAAACTGCAATAATTAAACAAATATATAAATATGCCTGTTGATCACAACACTTTTATACTTTCAATAAACAACTGATAAAATGAAACTGTTCGATAAATTGGAAAGTTTATTAAAATATTTTCATGCTACATGTTTCATTCATTGCTGACCATCAACAGGCTTTCATAAATATTTTAATAATCTAACTGATTGATCAAACAATTTTATTCTATCAGTTGTTCATTTAAAGCATAAAAGTGTTGTGATCAACAGACATATTTAAGTATTAATGACATACACAACAGGATGCCAAGCATGTGAACAAATATTACACAGGACTTGAATCCATTTTATCCCTACCTTCACAGCTGTCATCATCATCTTCCCCAGGAGACCATCTTTCCATTCCAGAGTATATGGGTTCACTTCCCCATACAGTTCTCCTAATGTTACAGACTTGGGATTTAAAATGTAAGTTCTTACTGGCCTGTAGTATTGGTTTTCAATCTTACAATTATATAACCTTGTTAGAGCACATTTAAGCACCTGTGAACAACAAAGGTTTCATTACACCTGAAATAATTTAAAAACATAAATTTTTATACATGTAAAAAGCATATGACATAAAAATACAAACATATTATATAACTGAGAAGCACAGATACTCATTCCTTTCCTGGGATATCTTTGCTTTAATTGTTAGTATCACAATATACATTTTAAAATTGTTGCTAAGTTTACTTAATTAATTTCCATGCCATGAAGTTAAATGGGATCATAAAAGATATAGCTCCATATATTCTCAATCAATCACTAGGCAAAGAAAGGTCAGTCAACTTCAGACCCTGGCTGCTTTACCCTTGGGGAAAGGGAATTTGGGTCCCCATTAGAAATGAGGCTGGGTGGATCTCAGGGCTGGTCTGAATGCTGTGAAAGAAAACTCTTTTGTCCTTGCTAGGAAACAAACCATGAAGCCATCTTAGACCATAATATTACAACACTGTTAAATTTAGCACATTTTGCAGAAGTGCTTTTCAGTAATCACTTATAATCTTGATGTCAGTTTGTTCTTATTTACTGCTACTTTGCTGTACAACATTGCACTATTCTCTCTTTGCAGCTTTCTGCGCTGCTATCACTGAACTGACTACTTGTCTCACAGTTAAAACTGTTTCATCATACATAGTCACCATATGCAATGAGACTTATCTCAGCTGACTTGTTCTTGTCTTGCAACCAAAGTTTTATACAAGTTATCTCTCTAGAAAAGTCGAGTGCACATGCAAGGGCACAAGATGCATAATGTTTCTTAAATCAACGATAATAGGTGGGGGGGTCTGCAAACTTCGATGCGTGAGAGTGAATATGCTGGCATGTGTTCCACATCCTTCCCCCACCCCATATACAGTCCACATGACAATATTTTAGCCAGATTTAGAATAATACTCAAATTTAAAAAATTACCGTTTAAACATACATACATAAAAAACTGATCGAGAAAAATATACAGTGAGTCATACCAACAAAACAGTTGTTTTTCCTCCTCCACTTGGACCAACTAATGTGACTCCATGACGAAATATCATTGTCTCATATAACTGAATTACTTTTGTAATCATACAAGGCTCTGGTTGTAAAACATTTTGTTCCATAACTGCTATTACTGCTTCTTGCAGCACACCATAATCTTGCTCTGGTATCACAGTCCCAGGGAACAGATCATTCAAAATACCCTGCAACAGCAATTCAGGCGATTTTGCAATGCCATAAAACCATAAAACATGATAGCTACTGCAGTTACCACCAGGCCAGGGCCAAATATATCACTGCACCTGGCACAAGTGGCATGATCTGGGTCCCTGTGAAAGCAACCAGTGATGACTGTTGTGTATATCTACCATGTATATGTAGTGCTCTTGTTTATCTGCTATGACTCTATGCATTATATATATTATGTATACATCATTCCATTTCTAATAGTTCTACTGGTCCCTGTAACAAACTCCTGGTATCCAAAATTTTTACTAGCTGAAACAGTGAGTTTTCTGACCTTTCCAGATACAGAAAGCCCCACTGTAGCCTGATGTTGACATTTAGTGTTAAAATATGAAACTACATGCTGATACTGTATGTAATTTGTAATAATTACACACAAAACTGCATGTTGACGGCAAACATATATACACAGAATATTAAAAACAAAACATGACACTCAAATATAACATTCCACACACAATTTGTGAAAACTACATAAGCCTTTTTCCAAGACCAGTATTATTTATCTAGGCTAAGTTACTAAATATTCTTACCTCAAAAATATTAGAATCTTCAGCCAAGAACTTCGGCAAGTTGCTGTCACGCAATGCTTGAATAAGGACTACATCTTCATTTAAGCTTGGATTACAGTGCTTCAGAGATCCTGCCATTACTAGTACACTGTTCATAGCTCTGGGAAGCATAAAAATAAGGAACATAAATGGTGGAAAATGCTCGCCTGATATCACTAATAACAATGTAATATATTGTAACGTGTTTCGTTACTGAATACGCCGTAGAGATCGTTATTTGGTTTATTGAACAATCTACAAATATCGACTACAATTAATTATCACAATGTTACGGGTTTCCACACTTTACAAACCCTACAACAAAATCTCTTAACACTATCTTCCAGAGTCTTCACATATTAATAACGCGGGAGCTATACAAGTCTCCCTGAATTACACACTCCAGATATAACTGGTTATCACGAACTATCACTGATTCTCGCACACGCATCTGTAGCTCATAACTTGTGAACTGAGAACTCGTTGATAACACACTGACTCTCGCTCGCTGCTCAGCCGGCTTTTATTCCGTTCGCTGTTGCTAGTGTGACGTGGCATATAGCCTAGGACGCTCTTACCCCTTGGTGACGTCACCGCTGTTGACTCGCTTTGCATAGCTTCAAGGTTGTGGGGACTCGGCTAACGTTGGCTCCGCTCGGCTCACTTCGGCTCCGCTCGTGACGTCACCGCGGGGAGAGTTGCGGGGTGATTGCTCGCCTATTACGCGAGCGCTACGTTACCGCTACGTGCAGCTGGGGAGGTAGGGGTCAACATGTCATAATATGTATATGAGCACAGAGTGGATAAACTGGTTCATAACAAAATTAGACCAGCAACCATTCTATATTTGTCATCAGCTTAAGATTTTTACTGGCCTCTATACAGCCTCTTTCATTTAGCTATTGTTAATAGAATATTTATTACTGTCTTAAATAACTTTATTTTATCCATTTAGATCCAGCCTGAGCCTTTACATATTTGTTACTGTTTCAAGAGATTTACTGGTCCATACACAACCTGTTTTATGAAGTTTTGTTAAGAGAATATTTATTACTTTTCATGATCTTTTTATCAGTTTACAGCCCATGCATCTTTATCTTTAATTAATTTATACTGGATTTTATGTACAGTAATCCACCCTGAATGTCATCCAGACACACACATGCATCAAGAGTGACAGACACCTAACCACATGCATAAAGTTGTCCCTGTGCTCAACGAAGTTAAGCACTAAGCCATGAAGATGTATCAGGAAGTGGATGTATAGATCCACATTTTCTTGACCTTGCCACATACATGCATAAACTAAAAGTTGTCCCTGTGCCTAACTAATTAAGCACTACACCATGAAGATGTATGGGGGAGTGGATGTATAGATCCACATGCTCTTGACCTTGACATTAGTTAGAGATGAGTGGTCAGTTTCATGCCCTGGCTGCTCTAATTCTGGGGAAAGAGCCCCCAGTACCCATTGATCAGGAGGCTGGGTTGGCTCCAGAGCTGGTCTGGATGATGTGGAGAGAAGAAATATCCTGACCCTACCAGGATTCGAACTCCAACCTCTCATCAGTCCAGCCAATAGCCAGTTGCTATACTGACTGCGCTATCCAAGCCCCTTCATGTGTACATACATACAGAACAAAATTAATAAAAACTGGGATTTGTGACACTTCACAATTTAACTGTAGGAACACAAAAGAAATGGACTGATATAAGAAAATAAAATTGTTCCTGCACTGGACTTGTGGTGCTGATGCACTTTTGGAACTCTTGTACTGACAAAGAAAGTGACTGTTAAGAGTCAGACTAGTATGAGTGTCCTGTACTCTAAAGCAGTACAGACACAATACAGTGAAACAACTTTATTTTTAATTACCTTTGTACATCACTCTCCCTTAAGTTAGAGAGAGAGAGAGAGAGGAAAAAAAAAACTCTGGGGCCCAGACAGCCTCTTATCCAATGGTCCAGTGGTTACTGTGAGCTGTTTCCCCAGAAGCAAAGTGGCAAACGTATGAAGCTGACCACTCTTCTTCTTCTTCTTCTTCTTCTCCTCCTCCTCCTCCTCCTTCTTCTCCTTCTTCTTCTTCTTCTTCTTCTCCTCCTCCTCCTCCTTCTCCTTCTCTTTCTCCTCCTTCC